GTGAGGACTACCTGGCTGACCTCGGGATAGAAGACAATGTCAAAGAAATAGGGTTTTAAGGATACTTTTTTGAAGATGGGTCGAGTGTAATGGCTGAAGGCATGAAGTGTGAAATTAGGCTAGGTGTGATTCTATTGGCAGGGTAGGATAAAAATGTGCGAAGATATGTAAACCAAAGCTCTGGATAGCTTGGTGAAGAAATGTTACTGCATATTGAGATATGACTGAAAGGCTTTTTGTAAGAAACTCTTGGTTTATGTAAGATGGAACTTAAGGAGGGAGACTGTGACAAATGTAATCTTTCCATCTTCTGAATCAAATGCTGCCCCTTGGTGATGTCATTGGAAAACAGTGTTAGTTTTCCTGTAAACACTGATACTCTTGTCGTTACCACACTTCATTTCTTCACTGTTGCAAAATTATTAGATTACTTATCCAATGTCTTCTACTGGATGAAACAAAATTTCTCCTGATAAAATGTTGGGAAATCTGAAGCCGTTGTTTTTGGATCCTTTTCCAAACTCTGTACTGATTCCATATCAACTCTCTGGCAACAGTCTGAGATTTAGCCAGCTATTTGCAACCTTTGTGGCTTCACCAAGACTACCTTTTTCTACCTGCATAACATCAGCCAACTTCACCCTGTCTTAGCTTATTTACTGTTGAAACTCTTGTTCATGCCTTCATTGCCTCTCGATTTGACAGTTCTGATACACCCCTAACTGATCACCCATGTTCTCCCTTCACCAAATTTGAGGTCTTCTAAAACTCTACTGCCCATATGTTTTAACTCATATCAAGTTCCATACTTCCAAGGTACCCCCCTCACTCTTTGGTTCACCCACATTGGTTCACTGATGTTATGGAACAGGCCAGATCCCCTGAAGTATATTTTGGAGATAGCCTAGACCCTAACCTTTATGTTTTTGATTTGGAGGTGCTGGTGTTGGACTGGGGTGGACAAAGTCAGAAGACTTCATCTGACGAAGGAGCAGCGCTCTGAAAGCTTGTGATTTCAAATAAACCTTTTGGACTATAACCTGGTGTCATGTGACTCCTGACTTTATATTTTTGAAAAGGGAATTGTAGGGGACCTGTGCTCCAGATATGATTTGATTGGTCCATTAGTAAGCTTTAATCAAAATACATTTTATTCTTACAACACAGTTAGAATACAACAAAAAGAAGATTCTATTGAAATACTTAACAAAAGAATGTATTTAATGACTTAGCATCAAATATTCTGGCAAAAATGCAATTCAGCAAAACAGGAATTATTCTCACGTGCTGTCTCTTCACTCTAGCAGCAGACGACTCAAGCTTTTAGCTCTAGCAGCCAACAGAAACCTTCTCAACTAAATGAAAGCAAAACTAAATCCTTCCTAGGACTGTGTGAGCCCTGACCCCATCTATGCATGAAAACACCCAGGGAAATCTTAAAAACTGTTTACCAACTGCCCCTCTGAAGGAGACATTTCTGCACTACTGTGACAATACCACTTTGCAAGAGAAACAGGACCAAACACGTCTCTTAAAAACATAGATAACAAGGTGTGGAGCTGGATGAACACAGCAGGCCAGGCAGCATCAAAGGAGCAGGAAAGTTGACGTTTCAGGTCTGGACACTTCTTCAGAAATGGGGGAGGGGAAGAGGGCTCTGAAATAAATAGAGAGAGGGGGAGGTGGTGATCGAAGGTAGATAGTGGAGCAGATAGGTGGAGAGAAGACTGACAGGTCAAGGAGGCGGGGATGACGCTACTTTACTAAAAGCATACTACCAACACACTGTCTTGCTTTTAAAATTCTCACCCATGTTTGCAAATACCATTGTGACCTGGCCTCTGTCTCTGTCTATGTAATCTCCTCCAGCCCTTAACACTGGGATGTCTATATCTTCTAATTTTGGACCCTTAAGTATCCCTCATTTAAATCTGGCAGTATAGCTGATTGCATCTTCGGTTGCCCAGGACTTTGGAATACCATCCTTTTCCCTCATTACATCACTTTGGTCCTTTAAGACGGTCTTTATATCCTATGCCTTTTACCAATCACCCGACCTAATACCTCCGCATATGTCTTGGTTTCATGTCTTGTGGTACAGCGTGCCTGTAGAGTGCCTTGTGATGTTTTAAAGAATGTTAAAAACATAATAAATACTATTTATATAAATATATGTGTATCTCTTAATTGCGATCAGAGGAAAACCACCTTTATTTGCACTAGCAAATCACAGCAGAGTTATTAGCTTAATTATATGATAGAACTTCCAACTGAATCTGTATATTTTGCAAAGGAAAGAAATGTGCAATTATTAAGTGAACTTTAGGATGGTAATAGTGGGAAACAGCTTATAAATACTTGTTTTTTTTTCCTTTTTTTCACAAATTCTTGGGTTGGCAATGAGACAAAGTATGAAAGACAATATTTTCATTCCCAATGGTTAGAATTCAGGCCACAACAAATCTGCACTTGTTAGATGGCAGTAAGGCCTAGTCCAAATTAAATTTCATCAGTCTGTCCAAGTTCCTTCTGGGCAAAAGTGCAAGCTGGCCCTAAATTTCGCAGTAGAAATGGGAGAATAGTGTATGTATGGAGCAAATTCAATGCGCTACTATAAGGAATGATCTAGTGTTGTATTTGAAATTTAAAAAAAAACTATTGCAGATTGAGTATTTTTCTAGGTAACTATAAGCTAAGGTAAGCAACCACATTTCTGTCAGTTTAACCTTAATGGTGAGCTGCCTTCTAGAAATTGTAATTCCAGACAAAATTGTGTTGGTGAGTTTTGGCAAGCCAGCATAGATCTGTTAGGGAACCCATATTCAACTAACTTGTTAAAATTTCTTGATAAGATAACAAATAAAGCTAAGAGGTGTTTTCATCAGGCAAAGATGGGTGGAGTGACTTCCTTGTCTTTTCCTCACAGTTTGATAGGATGTTTACGAATTTAAGATGGAGTTGCCAGTCCAGAATAGATAGTTTATAATCAACCTGTTCAGCAATGTTATTACCCAACTTATAGCACATGGGACTTGAATACAGACCTCCTAGCTCAGAGGTCAGGACACTACAAATGCATCATAACAGCCTCCCACAACTGTCAGTTTGTATAAACACCTAATTATTTGTGTGCTGGTTGTAAAGAATTAGCCAACAGGTTTTTTTGAATTTTAAATTCATTGACCTGAAACTAACCTGGATAAAAACATTAACAGGTTTACATCTGTCTTGAAATCACAGCATTCAATACAGAGAAAACAGAGGTAGATAAATGTGCCCAAACGCTATATCTCTCAGTTCAAGTACAAGTATAGTCATAAAGCTTGACTGGTCATGTAATTTGTCTCCAACTGCCCTCAGAAGTCCAAAAATACATTGTATATTTCAAAAAGTAGCTATGATAAGCTTACATCTGCACAGCTCATCTCTGCCATGAATTCAAGGCTGCAGTCGATTAGATTTTAATGTTCTGTTTTCCAACGTTAAATTTTCAGTGTTCTTCCCAGTACTTTGCTAAAAGCACAGTAAATAGAGTCTTTCATATATCTCAGGGGTCCTAGACTCCTCCCATGAGGGAAAATACCCTCTGAGCTTTTAGCCTGTCAAGCCCCTTTAAGAATCTTATGTTTCAATGAGATCACCTTATTCTTCCGATTTCCAGTGAGTAAAATCCCAACATGTTTAACCTTTGCTCATAAGACAATCTTTCCATACTTGGGATCATCCTAGTGAATGTTGTGTGAACTGATTCTAAATGAAATAATATTTTTCCTTAAGTAAGAAGATGAAAACTGCTCACAGTACTCCAGATGTTGTCTCACAAGCACCATGTACAGTTGCAAGAAGACTTCTGTACTCTTATACTCCAAATCCCTTGAAATAAGGGCCAACATTCTATTAGCCTTCCTGATTATCTGCTATACCTGTGTTGCTAGCATTCTGTGTTCATGCGCAAGTATCCCAAGTCCTGAAATGTTGTAACTTCCTTCAGCTTTCCCCATTTAATGATCTATATCTCGGTGTATAGTACAAAATTTCAAAAGGACATTGGCAAATTGAAGGAATCAATGGATAAGTGGCAGATTAAACTTAATGCAGAGGGATGATTCATTTTGATGGAACAAATGCAGAGAGGCAAAATAAAATAGAGTATATAATGCTAAAAGGCATACAGGTCACGCGAGTAGTTAATTTATGTTAAGAAACATTACTGTATCTTGGGCTTTATTACTAGGGGCATAAAGTATAAAAAGAAGGAAGTTATGTTAAATTTGTGGAGGACACTAGTTCAGGCTCAACTGCAATGTTGCATCCAGTACTGGGCACCACACTTAAGTAAAGATGTGAGGGTATTAGAGAGACTGCAGAACAGGTTTGCAAGAATAGTTCCAGGAATGAGGAACTTCAGTTATGCAGATAAATTGGAAAAGGTGGGATTTTGTTATCCTTGTTGAAGAGGAGAGTGAATGGAGATTTGATCAAGGTGTTCAAAATCATTAGGGATGTGCATGGAGTAAATAGGGAAAAAGTGCTCTCATTTGTAGAGGGATTGAGAGAGAGAGGAATAAAAGTTATGTAATTGATAAAAAAGATGCAATGGTGACATGAGGATAAACCTACATAGTAAGAGGCTAGCATCTAGAATTCTGCTTGAGAGTCTGGTCAAGGAAGATTCAATTGAGGCATTCAAGAGAGAATTGGATTGTAATCTGAAGACAGGAGTACAGGGAGAAGGAAGAGGAGTAGAATGAGGTATATTGCTCCTATGCAGAGCTGGTGCATAGAAGATGTACCAAATGGCCTCCTCTGTGCCGCAGCGATTCTAACAATTCTGTGATCCTGTGGTATTTTGAATGATGCCATTCTATGCAGTGTTAAAGAAAACTGTTGTCCATAGTCCTCTACAGACCAAATCTGGAAATAAGAATCTTTAAAACCATTAAAAAGGAAGTAACCTTTATTTCTGCTAACCATATTTCCTTTCTTTTTGTGCGTTGTAGTTTTCTTCCCTTAACTTGAGGAGAATTCCATTGGAGCAAGTTGCAAAACCAGCACTTTGTTGTTCAACTGCGTAAGTACAGATTTACAGAAATTTTGTCTGCCTTCAGTCAACCTGTGTAATCCAATAGCCTTTCAATGTGCTCAATTGGACCGGAAAAGAAAGTAGGTGCAACTTGTGGGCAATACACATTGTACCTAAAAAAAACCAAAGAACTGCAGATGCTATAAGTCAGAAACAAAAACAGAAATTGCTGGAAAAACTCAGCAGGTCTGACAGCATCTGTGGAGAGAAAGAACAGTTAATGTTTTGGGTCCAGTGACCAATTCCCAAGAAGGGTTTCATGGTGTAACTAGTTGCACCAAATATTTCTTGACCTAACAAATGATCCATAAAAGGACTGCTGGAAATTGCTCAATAATAAGTCAAAGAACTTCTCCATGTTTTTTTGTAATTGTAACTAAAATACTGTGGATACTGGAAATCTGGAAAACAGAAAATGCCGGAGCATCTCAACATCTGTGGAGAGAGAAACAATGTTAAAGTTTTGAATCTGACTCTTCTTTGAACAAGGTGAGTTTCTCCAGTAACTTGTGTTTTTATTTTAGTTTTTTTTTCTTTGTTGGTCTAGAAGAAGCAGGTGGGTGCTCTTGAGCTCATGAGGAAATTGTTACCCATTGTTGGCTTTCTTTTTGACCCTGACTGGAATTCCCTTCTTCCTGCCCCTTGGCTAGCACAAGGGCCAGCTGATCTGCTTAACCAGGGACCTTCAGCAGCATACCTATAAGGCTGCCAATGCTCATTATGAGCAATCAATGAGGTCCAAGTCTGAATTTTGCTTTGTCTTTAAGTTGGCACATTCTGGAACTGGTATTGAATTTGTTTGGATGTGACTACAGTTTTTTGCCTTACAGTTTTTTAAACTTGTTTATTTTTAAAATGAAAGGACGTATATAATCAAATTGTCAACTGCAGGATGTAAAGGATGTCGGTCCAATTATGTACCCTACTTTGTTAGGCACCATATTTATGTAAGATCAGTTAATATAACACCAAGCAAATTGATATGAAATTATTGAAGTATTTGTAATGGTTCTAAAACCATGGAGCTTTCCCTGTTGTTTAGATTTCCTCAGCTGGAAAGTTTTGACATCTGCTAGTTTGGAACAGTTGTCAGCAGCAGGGTAGCTGCTTTCAGGAACAGTTGGCTGCATGGCTGCATGCCAGCTTGTACCATCTGTGCACCTGACATTTCTTTCTAATTAACAGAGGGGTTAATTGTTTTGACAGGCTCAAGTGTAGCGTCTAACATTACCCAAGGGAGATACATAAGTGTAGGAGTGGCAGGGAATTGGAAATGGTGGAACTAACATTCTGTTGTCAGACATTGGTTAACAGCAACTGATGGTTTTACTAGCCAGGCACTTGCAATGAGATTGAACAATTTTTCTGATGAATTATGCCAAGCTATTGTAATGATGTAGAAGGAATTGAGCATAGCAAGGCAAAGACCACTGCCTTGAGGCAATTGTGGGGGACCAATTTGCATGTTATTACTGCATATTCATACCTAATTTTGTTAGACCATGCTAATAGGATAAAATGACAGTACAAAAAAAAACTTACAGTTGACTCTATAGCAAACAAAGCTTATGCATTTCCCTTTTCGTTTCAATACTGATTGCTAATCATTTAGGTAGAGATTCAGAAAATGACAACAGTGCTATTCATTGGTCACGCCACATAATTTACTCTGTATTTGAGAGATTTTTTTTAAGTTTTGTACAGTATTCAAAATAGCAATTGTAAATGGTTCACAGCTGTTCTGAATATGGAACATTTGGACAATGAAATTGTGCTACACACTAAAAATAGATACCACTTTAAAATTATAATTGAAATTCTGCAATATTTTCGCACTGCTCTATATAGAACATAGAACAGTACAGCACAGTACAGGCCCTTCGGCCCACAATGTTGTGCCGAACTTTTACCCTAATCCTAAGGTCTATCTAACCTCCACCCCTACCTTATACTATCATCCATATGCCTATCTAATGGCCGCTTTAAATGCCCCTAACAAAGCCGACTCCACTACCCTCTCCGGCAATGCATTCCACGCCCCTACCACTCTCTGAGTAAAGAACCTACCTCTGACCTCTCCCCCATATCTACCTCCACTCACTTTAAAACTATGCCCCCTCGTAATAGCTACATCCACCCTAGGAAAAAGTCTCTGGCTGTCCATTCTATCTATACCTGAAATCATTTTTTACACCTCTATCAAGTCACCTCTCATCCTTCGTCGTTCTAAAGAGAAAAGCCCTAGCTCTCTCAACCTTTCCTCATAAGACCTTCCCTCCATTCCAGGCAACATCCTGCTAAATCTCCTGTGCACCTTTTCCAATGCTTCCACATCTTTCCTGTAACGAGTTGACCAGAACTTGCCACAATACTCCAGATGTGGTCGAACCAGGCTTTTGTATAGCAGGAGCATAACTTCACGGCTCTTGAACTCGATCCCTCTATCAATGAAAGCTAACACACCATACGGCTTCTTAACAACTCTATCCACCTGGGTGGCAACTTTCAGGGAACTGTGGACATGAACCCCAAGATCCCTCTGCTCCTCCACACTGCCAAGAATCTTTCTGTTAACCCTGTATTCTGCTTTCAAGTTTGTCTTTACATTTTTCATTATAATGCTTTCAGATATAACTTAGGATATTTAATCATTAATATGTATTATCTGGATTTCATATTGAACCTAGCTATCAAAACGTCTGTTAGAAGTCTGGACTTTTAGATCACAGGAAAGTAATTTGTATTTTAACTTTTAAACACCAAATATATATTTTGCCTTTGTAATTGGTAATTATAATTGCATAAACTCTTTTGTTTTATGACTTTTTTTGTTATCTTGGTTCTCGGGTTTTGGTGTCACTGGCTCCATAGTGATTTGTCACCCAACACTAGTTGCCCTTGAGAAAGTGGTGGTGAGCCGACTTCCTGACCACTGCAGTTGTGTAATGCAGGTACGCTAACAGTGTTGCTCAGAAAAGTTCCAGGATTTCGAAACAGAAATTCTCAAATCTTGGTGTTGTAGTTCCAAGTCAGTTGGAGGCACATTTGCAATTGATGGTTTTCTTAAATCACTGCTGTCTCAGACCTTCTCAGTGGTAAAGGTTGATTGATTTATTGATTTATTGTCACTTGTACTGAAATACAGTGAAAAGCTTTGTTTAAGAGCTGTACAGGCAGATCACAGTAAGCAAGGATGCACAGATCAGAGGTTGTAAAAAGACTTAGACAGAGGCATACAGGTTACATTGCACAGGGTGTGTGCTAGATGAGATCAATGTTATCAAGTGGGTTTGGAAGGCACCGTTGAAGGAGACATGGTGAGTGCTGCACTCTGTCTTGTAGATTGCATACAATGTGGCCATTGTGTGCTGATGAAAGATTTTGGGATGCACTTTCACTTGAGTTGGAATATCTAAATCAATTATAGTTATAAATTGAGTCTGAGAGACAGCCATTCTGAAAGTCTGTTCCTCCTGATTGGTTACAAGATCTATACCAGGTATAAATATGTTTTCACAGGTTTTTACAAATTTTGCAAAGTTTATTGTAAAAGTACAAAGGAAATTTGTTTTGAAAAGCAGTTTTTCAGTCAGTCAACTTTGGGATACCTGTTGCCTGGGCATATCCCTCTTATTCTGTTTTATTGACAACTTTCTTCTATCTTCAGTCTTCCTTTCTTATGCACAAACCCACTAAGAACAACCATGTATTAGCCTCTGCTATCCAGTACCCCCTGTGCCTGATCAGACACATCCTGATTTCTAATTGACTTATTGATAAGATAGTATCTGTCCAATTCCTAATTGGTTTCTTTAAAAGCAATGGCCATCTTATTGATATCTTTTCCTACTGTCTCGTGGTTCATTCTTTGACATGCCAATCACTTTACATGGTCAGCCCCTATGGGACAACTTGTCCTTAGCTTACCAACTCCATAGATCTCTATGTAGACAAGGTGGCATCAAAGAGGCCACCTACTTAAGAGTATGCATGTTACCCCTTGTGATTTGCTATACTCCCAAATGTTCCAATTGGTACATCCAAAAAGGTCAAAACAACTATAAGATTGCAAAACTTATCACAGAACCTAAATCCAACAAATTACTCATATTGTTAGATATATATTCCCATAAACCGGTTATATACTTTAAGTCTTAAAACTAAATGAATAAACAGTAAGGTCCTGGGGAGTGTTGCTGAACAAAGAGACCTCAGAGTGCAGGTTCATAGTTCCTTGAAAAGTGGAGTCGCAGGTTGGTAGAATAGTGAAGAAGGCATTTGGTATGCTTGCCTTTATTGGTCAGTGCATTGAGTACAGGAGTTGGGAAGTCATGTTGTAGCTGTACAGGACATTGGTTAGGCCACTTTTGGAATACTGTGAGCAATTCTTTTCTCCCTCCTATAGGAAGGATGTTGTGAAACTTGAAAGGGTTCAGAAAAGATTTACAAGGATGTTGCAAGGTTTGGAAGGGTTGGGTTATAGGGAGAGGCTGAATAGGCTGGTCTGTTTTCTCTGAAGCGTCGGAGGCTGAGGGGTGACCTTAAAGAGGTTTATAAAATCATGAGGGACATGGATAGGGTAAATGGACAAAGTCTTTTCTGTGGGATGGCAAAGTCAAAAACTAGCAGGCATAGGTTTAAGGTGAAAAGGGAAAGATTTAAGAGGGACCTAAGGGGCAACTTTTTCACCCAGAAGGTGGTGCATGTGTGGAATGAGCTGCCAGAGGAAGTGGGGGAGGCAGGTATAATTGCAACATTTAAAAGGCATTTGGATGGATATATGAATAGAAAGGGTTTAGAGGGATATGGGCCAAATGCTGGCAATGAGACTAGATTTGTCTGTCTAGGATATCTGGTTGGCATAGATGAGTTGGACTGTAAGGTCTGTTTCCGTGCTGTACAGCTCTATGACCCTATGACCCTATAAAAGCATTTTACCTCAAAACACTTTATAATTCACATTGTTTAAACCATTAAGGCAACTAAAAAAACTGCACATCTTACCTTTGACCTGGACCATATAGTTATTCTCCCCACTTGCTTAATCAAGCCAAACATATTGAAAAATAACTCAATCTTACACTTGTGGTGTAGGGAGTGCATGTGTAAATTCGTGGATGTAATACTGACTAATGTGATTGTATTTATTATCTTACATCAACTAGTATTAGGTAGGGTTAAGTATTATTTGTAACTAATTAATGGGATTGGAAGGGGATTGCAAATTGCCCAATCTACAGCAAACCCCTCTGAGGTCTTTGGACCAATTTTAACCAAACTTGGTGGACTCACAACTCGGATGAATGGTAAATCAAAGGGGAATTGATGTGTAACCACTTCTGCTGGGGTGGCTTTGGTCTTGTAACAGAGGATCCTTAGCCCTACCTACCCCGCTAACACCGTAAGTTCACTGATTTAACCAACTCTGTCAATATATTCCAAGAATGAATGCAACAAGTTTTTGTCATGAATACAGAGATTTCTTTCGTATTTAATTTTTACTGCATTTTATTTATGTAAAATATATGTAAGTTATATTCCAAGAAACTTCATAAAGGAAAGTTGCAGGCAGCTTGCAGAGCCAGAGAAGATGGTGGAAAGTGTTGGGCAGCAATAAGAGAAGGAAAAGATGAGACAAGAATGAGAATTGGACAGAGTGATAGTATGGAAGAACCAAAGTTACAGGAAAGAGATGAATTCTTTCAAAAAGTTTGATTTATGCCCTTAACATGATTAAATCTCAGTCCCAGAATATGATGATGGCCTTGCGATTTATAAAGAGCCTCCTTCAATGTATTGGACAAGTAGTAGTTTAAGATTGTCGATGACAATCTTGACGATGATTCACTTAACCTACTAAATAGTATTTTCATAGGAACAACAACAAAATCAAAACACTTCTTGAAAAACATCAGAACATGTAACAACTGAGTATAATCAGCAAGGAATCTCTCTTTTTTGGTTCATGAGAAATGAAGTTCTAAGGTGGTCTATCATGAAATATTTAACTTTGTAATGAACATTGTAAATGTATACTGTGCCATTGAAAATGTAGAGAGTGATGCTATAGATGTTGTCTTTCACACTGATATTGAAATATTCAAAGATTAGCCAGTGTTGAGAAGATAAATGTTAATAAAGTTTTTAATCTCGAGGATTTACAGAATGATGCAGGATATAGAGAAATATGGTAAAAATTACATGCAGGTACAGTGTTTCAAATCCAGTTATTTGTGAGCTGTTATATTCAAAACCTTTTGCTACACATGAATTTTAATTATTATTTGATGATTAAAATAACTTACTGGCTCATCGGGCTAGGTGCTGTGTTAACAGCAGGTGCAGTAGTATGTCAATAAGTTATCTACTCACTTGACTATCGCTTCCTGCATTACAATTGGTCCGAGTTACACTGTTAACCTGATCTGATCTAAACTGACCTGAAACTGATCTGACACTTACATGATCCTGAGGTTGCTGGTTTCGACTTTTACCTGTAGTAAAAATTGTAAATCTACCTAAAGTCAAGCCAAATAAAGTGAATGAAAGTAATTGCATTCTGAAAATAAATATTTCTCAAAGAATATTTTGTATTCATTAACAACTTAGGTGTGTTTTATATTTGTGGGATTAAAATTGTTAATTAGAATAATTATGATGGAAAGTAATTAAGTAAATTTTTGGTTGAAATCCAATGGGTGATTATTTCAGTTTGTGACTTCATAAAAAAGTTTATTTTTAATCTAATTTCTAAAATCTTGTTTTTAACTTTCATCCCTTTATTTAAGAAATGGCAGTATATATGGGCAATTTGGCTTATCAAGCGTTTCCTCGACATATAGCTGATCTTGGATTGATTAAAATTGCCAAAATAGAGATATTCTTTAGATCTTTATGCTTCCTATTTTATATACATATGTAAATATATACAGCTTAATTTTGTTAATAGCAACGTGATGTGACAGAAAACGTATGTTGAACTTACCATTAAAGCTTATGCCATTAAATTATTTCATAATTGGCTTTGTCTTTTTTAAAAATTTCTGCTTAAAATTATGCCCATAAACCCTGAAATGACTAATAATGTGGTACAACTATGTAGGTAAGAAGATGCAGTGGTGACAAAGTAATTTATATCTATGAATTTTTCATGAACTCTTAGTGAATATCAAAATTTTATTTTGGCTATGAACTATACCCAACAGAAAGAAATCAGAAGAGACATCAAAGTCCCGCTTGGAAAGCTTGAAGTCCCAATTCATAGCAGGCGATCAGATAATTCAAAGGCCTCCTGTGGAACTAAAGGAAGTGTTAAGCGACAGTCGTCCAAGTAAGGCTGAGGTATGTTTACTTCTGTTATTCAAAGAAAATTGAATGAAGCAGAAAGCACTTGAACACCTTGCAAATCGGTTAGAGGCAATGGAAACAAGGTGAGTTAAGGAATGGTAGTTACCACTGACCACAAAAATCTACCCATAAAGATTTAGTGGGCTCTAGAGCATAGATTTTCTCGCTTTCAATGTTTGTTCTGATTTGGCACCACCTATAGGGGATCCGTGGCATCCAATGACAGATATGCAGAAGGGAGGCCAATCAGCCAATAAAATGGAAGAATAATCTCAGCAACTTAAGTAATTGTATAGGTATCAAAATAAAAATTGAGATATACACATGATATTAAGTGAGAAACATAATCGTCAGAACAAATTAATTTTTATTTTATGGAAAAATTGCACTTTTTAAATATTGCCAGGGATTGAGAGGCCATAAATGGATCATTTGTTTTTCAGAGTTAGAAAGATTGCTCAGTAGGTTTTACTTTTACATCATTTAAAAATGTAGTTACTACTGAATGAGCAAGGCTGAACATTTTCACTGGTTTGATAGTTAAAATAGTGCATAAACAGTTTGCCACAAATCTGTGATTTCTGATATTCCAGCTGCAAAAACTGTAACTATACTCCTTATGCAGGTACATGGTATTAGTACCAGTAACTTAGAAATTTCCATAGTTAACTACAAGTACGAATGCCAGATGTTGCGCTGCCAGCCTTATGACCGTCTGACTTATGAACGCTCCTACTTATTGAAGTATCTGACACATGAATGTTTACTCGTACTTATGAACGGATATTTTATACTGTACTCTATTATCTATCAACTTGCATACAAACGAATTTATGAATGTACTCAGGAATGGAACCTTTTTGTAAGCCTGGGACCTTCTGTGCTATACATTCTGTGCCAGTGTCCTACTTGTGGACCAATCTTCAAAATATAGCCAAAAATATTGACGTAACTGCTTTGTCCAGTTAACAGCAGGATAACAGACCTGCTGTGCAATTGTGGCATTTTCTATTTATTTTTGTGGAATTTCATCCATGCTCAGAATAATATTTTAAACTGTCTTGCTAATGTTCTTCATGCAATTGGATCATTGGTCTTTGGGCTACAAAATTAAAGAACCATTAAAATGATTATTCGTGTGGATTTCCTGCAGCTTTCCTTATTATGCATTATGTCCTAAATTATTCTGCAACATTTATATACTTTTAGAATACCCCATGTAAATTCATCATCTTCATTGGAATTACCTAATATAATAAGTGTAGTATTCTTCAGATATCATGTTATTCTGCAATCTCTACAATGTTTCAAATCATTGAAAATTTAGTTATAATCTAAAGTACTTTGAGACATTTTAAAAATGAGGAAAATATTATACATTTTCAATCACATACAGTAATGTCATTAACAGCATAATTTCTACATTTGTCTCTTAAATGATAGTCAATACATAATATGACTATAATACTTTCAATAGTCAAGATACACTTTAATCACCCCGCCAACTACTATTATGCAGCAACAAAATGGTATTTTCAGTGGTGAATGTATTAAATGATAGAGTTGTATTTTGCCTACATTGGTTGTTCAAATTCGTGATAAGACTGAAATTGGAGGAGTCCACTGTCTCCCTCTGGCACCAATACTCTGACAGTCACAAGTTAAATTTAAATATTTAAACCAGATATATTTAAGGCCAGATATATGCTATATATATAAGGTTTAAAATAAAAAGATTTTTCAGGTAATATTCCTTAGAATTGAACAAAATTATTGATTTTTTGTAAAAATGAGATTTATTTACCATAGCTGTAGCTAATTAACAAACTTTTTAAGATGTGAAAGTATAAATACCTCCCATTCAGAATACTTGCCTGCACATACTACTTCAAGGAAGATATGTAGACAAATTTATCTGTAGAGATTCGCTTTGAACAACCCTTGGCTAATAATTGTCCAATTTTGAAGGCAAGAGGATAATGATTTTTCAAATGGTTGTCACTCTGGTGTTCAGATTACGAGATACATACATTGTATACGTACCTCCAATGGATCATCATAGATGTAGATGTTCGTGAAATGTCGAGACAAACTGCCTCAGACACATCTCACGAAGCAGCTCAATGAGTGTTAGAGGTACTATACTGATGAACAAGAACAATTTTAGCAGAAACAGGAAGCTTCTTTCTTTCAGCGGGTTGGACACTGACTCCAATTGCATTCAGAACATTGTTTAAACAGCTAAGTCCCTGATATAAGGCTAGAAGGGTGGCTTCTAGAAAATAAGTCCAGTAATTAGCTAAAACCATGTGGTTTCTAAGAAATGCTTTGTTAACTAAAATGCTCCAGTATCCAAAGTGACCTTTGTTTTCATTTCAAAAGGTGCAGGTATGCACAACACTAGAAAAGAATCTATCTTTCCGTAATCCTTCAAAACTCAAGTCCTGAAAAAAATTAAATATGAAACCTTCATAATATTTGTATGTTTGGCGAAAATGGAATGCTGAAGTGTAGACAAGCATAAACAGTATAAATTAAAAACATGTACTCACTTATTCTCATTCATTCTTTGCATGTGACCTATATATTTATCTCTGATACTTTATTGGTACTTGCATTGTTGATAAAGTATTGCACGGAAAAAAGAATGTTTATGCGATAAAGCTGTAATAACAAACTCCACTAGAACACCTAACATTTTGATTTTTGAATTTTTTTACAAGGAAAGATGTTAGAACAGCAATGGCAGGAGTTACTGGGGGTAAAATGTGAGGCACATTGGAAATTCATCCCAAGGAAGAAGAATCATATGAAGGGGAGGACAAGGCAACCTGGCTGACAAGGGAAATCAGGGACAGCATAAAAACAAAAGAAATAGCATGCAATGTGGTTAAGATTACTGAAAAGCCAGAGTATTGAGAAACCTTTAAAAAACAGCAAAGGATAACTAAAAAAGTAATAATGGGGAGAGGTTGAAATATAAGAGTAACATAGCAAGTAATATAAAAGAGGATTGCAAGAGTTATTTTAGATATCTAAAAGGTAAGAGAGAGGCAAGAGTGGACATTGGACAGTTGGAAAATGAGGCTGGTGAAATAGTGATGGGGAAGAAGGAAATGACGGAGGAACTCATGAGATACTTTGCATTAGTTTTCACAGTGTAACACACCAGCAACATACCAGGACTTCAAGAGAATGTTGGGGTAGAGGTGAGTGTAGTGGCCACCATTAAGGAGAAGATGCTGGGGAAGCTGAAAAGTTTGAAAGTGTATAAATCACCTGGACCAGATGGACTACACCCCAGACCCATAAAGAAGCCAGCTGAGGAGATTGGGTAGGCATTGGTGGTGATCTTTTAGGAATCACTTCTTTCATGGAGGGTCCTAGAGGACTGGAAAATGGCTATTGTAACACCCTGTTTACGAAAGGAGGGAGGCAGAAGACAGGAAACTGTAGGCCAATTAGCCTGACCTCATTCATTGGTAAGATTCTAGAATCTGTTATTAAGGATAAGATTGTGGAGTATTTGGAAGTCCATGATAAAATAGGGCTGAGTAGCTTCATTAAGGGGAGATCATACCTGACAAATCTGTTAGGATTCTTTGAGGAGGCAATGCACAACTTAAACAAAGGAGAGCCAGTGGACATGATCTATTTGGATTTTGAGAAAGCCTTTGACAAGGTGCTGCACAGGCAGCTGCTAAATAAGATATGGTGTTCCAGGCAAGGTACTGACATGGACAGAGAATTGGCTGATTGGAAGAAGGCAGAGAGTACAGATAAAGGAATCTTTTTCAGGACGACAGCCAGTAAATTAGTAGAGTGCTGCAATGCTACATATTGGAACCTCAACTATTCATGTTATAAGTTAATGATCTGGATAAAGGAACTGAAGACATTGTTGCAAAATTTGCAGATTACACAAAGATAAGTGGATGGATAACAAGATGTGGAGCTGGAGGAACACAGCAGGCCAGGCACCATCAGAGGAGCAGGAAAGCTGACGTTTTGGGTCTGAACCCTGAAGAAGAGTCCTAACCTAGTCAATCTCTCCTCATATGTCAGTCCTGCCATCCCCAGAATCAGCCTGGTAAATCGCTGCACTCCCTCGAGAGCAAGAGCAACCTTCCTCAGAAAAGGAGACCAAAACTGCACACAGTATTCTAGGTGTGGCCTCACCAAGACCCTGTATAACTGCAACAACACATTCCTGCCCCTGTACTTGAAACCTCTGGCAATGAAGGCCAACGTACCATTTGCCTTTTTTAAACACCTGCTGCACCTGTACTCAGCTTCAGCACCTTACCTTCATCAACTGCTACACAAGGACACCCAGGTCCCACTGCACAGTCCCCTCTCCCAATTCACAGCCTTTCAGGTAGTAATCTGTCTTCTTGTTTTGGCTTCCAAAGTGAATAACCTCACATTTATCCAAATTATACTGCATCAGCCATTGATTCGCCCACTCACCCAACTGTCCAGATCATACTGAAGGATCTCTGCATCCTCGTCAACCATCATTCCATTACCCTCAGTGGCATTACCATCACTGAATCTCCCACTCTAAACATCCTGGGGTTATCACTGACCAAAAACTGAACTGGCCTAGCCATATGCTGTAGCTACAAGAGCAGGTCAGAGGCTAGGAATCCTACAGTGTGTAACTCACCTCATGACTGTCCAAAAATCTGCCCACTATGTACAAGGCACAAGTCTGGAGTGTGATGAAATACTCCCTACTTGCCTGGATGATTGTAACACCATCACTTAAAAAGGTTGACAGCATCCGGGACAAACAAATCACTTGATTAACACCATATCCACAAATATATGATCCTTCCAGCACTGACTGTTAGCAGTGTGTACCATTTTTCAACCCCATGACCAATACTGTCTGGAAGGACAACATTAACAGATACACAGAAACAACATCACCTGCAAGTTTCTCTCCAAACCACTTACAATCCTGACTTGGAAATATATCACTGTTCCTT